ATTTTTTTTAAATAGATTTTAATATTAAATGTAAAAGTCAATAATTAGCGAATAATAATATGATAGTTGAAGCAAATGTTATAATATATTTTTAACATTTGTATTAAATATCATTGTTTTAACAATATTTATGTCAAATTATCATTTTTATGACACGGTGTGCCGAATGTTGTTGTTTTTATGATATTTATCTCAAATGTCACTAAATAAATATCGTTGTATCTGTACTTTTTTTTTTGTAATGACAGGTTCAAGTCAGTGGCTAGTTCTCATTAAATAATTAAGAGATCCAATTGTTGGTCATTACAAATACAAAATATAGAATTTTAAATTTAAAAGAAACGATATGTTCGGATCTAAAATGTCAATTCCAATAAATAATGAAATAATAAAAATTCAAAATATATATACTTAGACTAATAAATATATTGTTTGATAAAAGAGATACAATTCATAGATCATATAATAGTTATATGATCTCATATTATGTAATTTTATAACAAAAATTATTTCTTTAATTTACTTTTTACACTTATTCTATGAATTTATCTTCAATTTAAATATTATTTTGATGAGTATTTGATTTTATGATACCATGTAAAAATTATTTATGAAAGCAAGTATATTTATCAAAGTGTATGGAAATCTCTCAAAAACACATATACATACATAATTCTATAAATATTCATCTTACTACACAAATTTGTTACAACTTATTTACTGTGATTATATTAGTACTAATATTATATAATAACTTTAATTGTCTGGAAAAAAATATTTAATGTGACTAAAAATTTATTATTTCTATAAAAAAAATTAATTCGTGATTAAAAAATGATTAGCTATGAATTTATTTCAACAATAAATCTATGACTATATCATTTCATCATGTCAAATAATTACAGTTATTAGGCAACTATTATAACAATTTTTTTATAATTTGAAGTAAAAATATTTATTCAACCATAATATTTTATTGTAGCTAAAAGATTACTATTGCTATAATAAATTTTAACTCATGGTATAAATTAGTAATTAGCTACAAAATTTACTATATAATTTTTTGCTGTATAATTTATCTATTGCCTACTTTTTTAAAAACTTAAAGCAAAAAAAAATAAAATATATATATATATATATATTTAGTTACAATAGTTTGTTTCAAATAATTTATCATGGCTCAAATATTACTATTGCTACAATAAATTTCAACACATGACTTAAAGTTAATAATTAGCTACAAAATCTTTTTATAGAAAAAAATATGTGGCTATATCATTTAATTATTGCCACATCTTTTTATTACTTGAAGAAAAAAAAAATTTAGCTACAACATTTTGTTTCAAATAAGTTATCATGGCTATTATTATAATAAATTTTAACCCGCGAAAAAAATTAATAATCAGCTACAAATTTTTTCTATAGAAAAGATCTATGGCTCCTATCATTTAACAATTGTCACAATTCTTTATAACTTGAAGAAAAATATTTTATTTTGCTACAATATTTTGTTTCAAATAATTTATTATGGCTAAAAGGTTACTATTGCTACAATAACTTTTATTGCGTAGCAAAAACATATGATCAGCTATAAACTTTTACCGTAGCAATAAAATTGTAGCCATTTAGGTAATTATTGCCACAATTATTAATAATTATAGCTAAAATGAAGAATTAGCTTCGTCAATTTGATTTTTATGGCTAAGAAATTTTCCGAATTTATAGCTAGCTATGAAATTCAAAATTTTGTGGCTATTACTAAGTAGCAACTACGATTTTTGAATTCATAGCTTAAATTTTATAGCTATAGATATATTTTGTTGTAGTGTACGCATATGAACTATGATAAGAACATGGAATTTAATTATGACTTTTTAAGAGGTACTACTTAGTATGAGTGGGGGTATGGAACTTCACTTATGCATTGCACAAGTAAACTTTAAGAGGGTTATGGTGAGGTTCTCTTATTTTATGAAGACTTATGGATTATGTATGTAAGATATGTATGGATGTTAAGGTTGACTTTACTTGTCACAAGTTATGAACATGAATAACTCCTTACTTATGTATATTGGTTGTGGATGATATATGTATGTAGTTGGTAGCCTAATTGTGATACTTAGCATTTTGATGGGGTTATAGGATCTTACCTTTGCATTGCACTAGTATGGCTTTGGGTTGCTTATATGTTGGTTTGACTTGTGTTTCTTCATAAATATGCATAATGGCTTTTAAACTTGATTAAAGCATGGTTTCAACTAAATGTTCCTTTTATGCATGTTTTAAGGATTTTTGTGCATGGCTTCCATACTTAGTACATTATTTGTGCTAACCCATATTCTCTACATTTCCGGTCGTTGAGACATACTTCTTCTTTCAAGTGAAGCTTGGGTTGACTATTCCCTAAGCTTGGTGAGTCCTCAAGATTCGAGGACAAGACATTATCCATTTTAGCTTCTATTTTACTTTCTATGTTTGAGACTTTATCGATGTAAAGGGCATTTGACCCTATTTGTATTCTCTATTGTACTAGATGGTGATTGAGACAAGGTTTAGACTCTTATTTTCGTTTATAAAAAAAAGTTGACTTCGATTGTAAAAGTTTTAAATATTCCGCATCATTTCTATGACTTTATGTTATGATAATGCTAAGGGCTTGTATGAGACCCCTTCGGGGTCAAGTACGCCATGTTACGTCTAGGGATACCCCTGGGTAGTGACATTATAATAATATTTTAAAGCACTTTGTTGTTCATACAATTTTATAGTATATAATAATATTTTAAAACAACTAATAAATTTTTTTCATACATTTTGTTTATAATATAGTATACTAAAAAAACAAAACATAAAGACGTTAATTTTACGTAATTAAAAAACATAAAGGAGTATAATATTTATACTAGTTAGGAGTAATTGAGTTATAATAGGTTGGTCATTTATTTGCAATACAATTGGTTGGATTGTGTTATAGAAAATTTTATTTACTATTATTAAAAAAATGTATAGTTTAATTCAAAATTCTAAAACATTATCTAATATATCAAATACCTAGATAACCCCTTTAAACTTGACACACTTTTTAAAGATAGATACTCAAACTTAATTAGTGACCAAATAGACACTTGAACTAGACACAAGTGTGTCTAATATTTAGCACACTAGTCACTACGATCGTTGCTAAATGCTAAACCCAAGCAAATCAACCATGGTGTACCTGGCTTACATTATTGTATCTACAAGATCCTTTGCTACTTTCTCCTTCCATTTTCTTTTACTACAACCAAAAAAAACAAAGGATTTGAAAGATATGAGTAAATTTGGATCACAAGTAATTAATTTGTGTTGTAGATTAAGAATATAATGGAAGCTGAAATTATGGAGGGAAAATGTTAATAGAACATACACATAATGATGATATGTTGTAAAACTTTTTTTGTAACACAATAATTTATGTCAATACTCATTAATCAATACATGGAGGGAATGGTTTAGTTTTGGAGGAAAAGCTTAAGCGACGAAGCTACACTAAGTCGCGCCTAAATGTATGACAAGGGCATTGTAGTCTTTTAACTCTATTTCGATTTTTGGACCAGAATAATTTCTTTTGTTTTAAATAAGGACGACAAGTATCTTAAGACGGATGGGATAAAATAATATACTCACTCTATTTCTATTTATATGTCGTCCTTACTAAAAATAGATATTCCTTAATATTTGTTGATTCACAAAATTAATGTATAACTGAAATAATTCTTCCTATTTTACCCTTAGGAGTTATTAACTTTGAAAGTATGTATTTGACCAACATAGAAAAATGAAGTAAATGATACATAATCATCGGTCAAATTAATTAATCAAAATAAATTAATTCGTGTTCGTTTATTGAAAATTTGAAGGATATAACAATAAACTTACCTATTTTTTTAAGGAGCATGAAACCTAAAATAGTGACAACTAAGTAAGAATGAAGAGAGTAGATAGGGAAACTTACATAAATATACTATATTAAGAAAATATTTACCACTTATAGCAATAACATTTTTTTTTCACTTGATCACTTTTAATACATTTATAATATAATTTAATTTATATTACAAAGAACAATTTATAGAACACATATAATACAAGTTATATTGATGTATACTTCATTATCACACATTTTAATACACTTATAATACAATGTGTCAATTTCTTACCAAACAAGCAAAATATATTTTAAAACAGTTATAATACATATATACTGCATACATAATTCATTTTTAATACATATTGCAGATTTATCATAATATTACTTTAAATAGTAATAAATAAAAAATATCGCTAAAATCAGTAATTATTTATTAAAAGGTACTCATTCAAATAATTTTTCCTAGATAAGAAAAGTGTATCCACACCCCCTTCTACAAATTAAAGTAACTTGATATACCACTAATCGCCAAAAATGATTCACCCAATATACATGAAAATAACATATTTTTATGCCAACTTGTTCTCCTTTTGGTTTGGATCTTATTACTCACTCCGTCCAATAATAGTTGTCTATTATATTATTTTGAAATTTTAAAAAAATACTTATCTACTTTATGAAATCAATGTATAATTTTACATTTAGTTTCTAATTTACCCTTATCATTATTTTTAGTTATTTCATTATTGTATTTATTATACTCAAAGGGTGATATAATAAAATTATCATTCTATTTTTATTTATAATTTCTTAATAAGCATATAAAGTCAATAATAAACAAATATTATTGGATAGAAGAAGTATTTCGTGTTACCTTTTGATCTTCAATTGTAAATAGCATCAAAGAGTATTAAATAATTGTTCAAACAATCACTCAATTAATAAAAATTATACACTAAAGTCACATAACTATATATTGAGGTGATATTTTAACAATGGAATTGGAATGCAATAAAAACACCATCAACAAAAAGGAAATTAGAACGATTTTCATGTCCAATTTTCATTAGTTGAGTGACCATATAAGTAATCAACTCGCAGCAATAACAACCATCCCCATAGATTTTTTTCCATCGTCAAACTGCGACGATTCACAGTTCTGTACTTCTTCGATCACAGATTCATCCACCATTATTACAACTTCATCTTCTCCATCTAATTCACTTTCCGTTACTTTAATCGGTTTCACCAATGGCGTAATTGGGGCTCTGCAAATCGGGCAGTTACAATGAGACTGAAACCACATATCAATACACTCACAGTGAAAACAATGATTACATTTGGGCAAAACCCGACCCGTTTCTCCATTTTCAAATTCCGCCAAGCACACAGGGCATTCGATTGGAGGATTGTAAAATTCCGCATCGTAAACGAAAACAGGGAGTGATTTTAACAGCGAAGGGTCAAGCCCTCGAGAAGAAGAAGAAGCTGCAATTGGTGAAGCCGGAATCTGGTGGCGGTAGCGACGGCGGCGGTCGTGGTGGTGGCGGGAACGGCGGAGGAGGAATCGGTTAGCGTAAAGGTGGAAGAAGACAATGAGAAAACAGACGAAAAAGAAAAGGAGAACAGAGGTAAGCATGAGCTTACCGCTGAATGCGTAGTGCGGAGTATTATCATCGCAACAAGATACAAGAGCAGTAGAAGATGACGAGTACTCATCGTCGTCCATGGAAGAAAAGAAGAAGAAGGTGCAGTGCAAATGGTTATGCTAAAAAACATAAAAGAGGAAGTTTCCTCCCTTGTTGTCGCGGTATAGTATATATGCTATAGCCGGAGAGGGACTTTGAGCGGCTCGTTTGTTTGTTCCTAGATTTTAAAGTTGAAATTTAAAATATTAAACTTTTGAGTAAAGTCTTAAAAATTCAATTAGATTTTATAATCTGTAAAAAAGAAAATTGCATTAGTGATATTGAAATTTTGAGAGTAAAAATGAGATTCTCTTCTCTAATTAACTTTATATGTATAATCAATTTATGCATTTTTGACAGCTCGTTTGGTAAAGTGTATTAGCAAAAATAATGAATGTAATCGGAGTAAGTCTTTTGTTTGGTATACTTTTTCACGATATGTGTATCTAATGTGTGCATTAGTTATACACTTTATTATGTATTGAAGAGTGTATTATTAATATCCTGGATTTTTATGTATTAGTAATGCAAAGAGATTTAATACATGCATTAGCATTGTTAAAGATCTAGTTACCCTCAAAAGCATTTTTACATCTTTTTCACTACAATTATGAAGGATATGTTTGTAAATAAACATTTTTATATCATGCATATTATTTTGAATATACCAAATCAAATAATCCATAAGAAATAATCTATGCATAACTAATGCGAAAATCTTACTAATACATTTTATTAAACGTTATTTTTATATGCTTTACCAAACGATATTTAAGTTTCTCTCTACTTTTTTCTTATAACATGGAGTAAGGGGCAGAAGGAATATTATGTAAAATGTCACTTTATAGGTTATATATTACTATATAAGAAGAGGGAATAAATATTCACCACAAGTCAACATGTGTTCCAATAAGAAGAGGGAATAACCAATATATTTATAAAAAAAAATGACATATAAAAAAAAATGGAGAGAGTATTGGTTTTTGAAAATGGAAAAGGACAAAACACATATAAAATTAAAAGACATAAAAAAAAGTTGGTTTAACTCTCAAACATAAAAAGTAACATATGTTATTAAAAACTTTAATAAAAAGTACTATAATTTACAATAAATAATAACTTAAAATATCTACAAGACAACAAAAAAAAGACTGATTTTTGTACTGCTTCTGTCACATAAATTAGGATTGGGATGATTTTAAAATTTTAATTTTGGTTATACATTATAAAATAGCCAAAAAATTGAATGATATAATTTTTTTTAAAATAATTGAATGAATCGTCTTATCGATAACCCTAATGTTACTTCTACTCTGTTTACTTAAATTTACAAAGATATGCTTCATTTCTACCCTCAGTCTTATCGCTACATTTATTTGCTATTTAAAATTGAAATTAAAAAGACAAATGACAAATAAGTTTCTATATTAGCTCACTTATGAGCAAAATATATTATAACAATCTTTACTAATTTTATAACAATACATAAACTATACTCCCTCCGTCCCATATTAGATGGGCACTTCCAACTTTACACGGTGATTAAGAAATCATTAATACCAATTGGAAGACTTCACCATTTTGCCCTTTGTTTATATCAATGCACATTGAAAAGAGTTACAAAAAATACACATACAATATAGGAATGATCATATTAATTGTAGGGGTAAAATGGAAAAGAATTAATTAATTCTATCCTAATTTAATAAGTGCTCAAATAATATGAAAAAAATATTTTTGGTAAGATTCTCATCTAATATGAGACGGAAAGAGTAACAATATAACTTTATTAATGTTGGGCCCGGGCCGCGCCCGAGCTTTCTTTACTAGTTTATTAGATAGATAAAAGTTGTTGGATGAGAATTATCTATATTTAATTTGAAGCAAAATGCAGTGTTAATGGACAAGTGCACTTTGGCACTTGTCTTCAACTTGCTCAAGTCATTCCTCCACATGCAAGTAAAACGCCAAACTTTAGATATTTCCAAGATCCTTCCTAAAATATTTAACTATAAACTAGAAGAAGTTCATAAGAGATTCCCCAAACAACACAAAATTTAAATAGACTAAAGTAGAAAAGAAATATATCCACTCTGAATAATTATGATTTTGCTTTTTTCCCCTTGTGCAAATATGCTCTGCAGCATCGGGACAAGAATATCAGTAAAGGGTTGGTAAGCGTTTCTCGAATAGATTCTTTTTATTTTTTTATATACAGAAGAATAATAAGCGTATATAATAAAATAGAGTGAAAGAATCCACTCCAAAATCAAGGAGATAGGAGTACTAACTAACAATTGAGTTTAAGATTTGGCTCTTTGTTTTCTATGTCAAGTAAATTTAGGGTGTGTAGACACTTCAATTGATTGAATCATAAAGATTTATTTATTATATAGAAGAAGAATCGAAAAAGGAGCGGATAGTTTATATGGCAGTGAAAGCCTCTTTTATGAAGTAAAATGTAAGTTCGTTATATATATCAATGTATTATATGACACCTTATTTAAAAGCTAAAACTTTTAAAGAAAGTACTTTTTAATTTACTTTGGTATACTTTCAACATGCCACTCACGTGTAGATTGATTTATTTTATGGGTAAGATGCGTGTAATTTTTTTAAGTGATAACCCGACGTAGAACTCAGCTACTCTAATATCATTTAAATTGTGTTACCACATCATATAAAACCTTATCAACGATACGCCTAAAGTCAATGATTCAACAGATCAATAATTGAGAGTGGCTGAAAATGTACATCTTTATTTACTTAATAATTGTATCTTTAATATAAACTTGTCTCTTTTATCATTTTTATCTCAAGGGACAACAAAGAGATTGTGATGCCTTGAAGAACAAAATGGGCATCGCAGAGTGTTTATAACAACATGATTTAGGTCCATCTTTGAAATAAACTATGATGTCACATATCATTAAATAACCGGTTTTCTTGGTGAGGATTCATATAGTCAATTTCAATTTATTTGGAACAAAAGCATAATAATTATTGTCATTTTTTATCTCGTGCTAAAACCACACGCATTCTCTCCCCCGTACACGAAAATTCTCATTGAAAATTCTTATAGTCAATTTCAATTTATTTGGAACAAAAGCATAATAATTATTGTCATTTTTTATCTCGTGCTAAAACCACACGCATTCTCTCCCGTACACGAAAATTCTCATTGAAATACTCATCATATACTTAAAATTATACGTGATATATATTTTATCATTCCTCCTGATCTATTTATGTATATCAAAATCCAAAACAGCAGGCAACAACTTCTAGTTTCCAAGCTGGTCCTGTATCTCCCTTCAAAATCAATGTTTACTTGCTTCTATCTAGGTAAATAAATTGAGCATGACATAATTTAGAATAGAGTGTCCCAACACACACTAAGCTCATGCTATGAACGGTGTTCAGAAAAGGAAGGACGCCAAAGATATGTATGATAAATTGTAGGCAATGAAATACCTAAGATATGTATGATAAATTGTAGGCAATGAAAATTACAAGGAAGGACGTCAAAGTAGCATTACAAGGAAGGAAGTAACAAGTTGCACTCACTGAAGCAACGTAGGAAAGGAAAGCCATCATACAAGGAATACATAATCAAGAAAACCACAATCCTAGCGTCTGACTAGGATGAAGTAAATCAAAAAGACAGACAATCAATAAAATCAGCCAAGTTTCAAGATTACAAGAAAATTTTCTAGAGAAGGAAGAGTATCAAGATTATAAGAAGATCTCCAAGAAAATGAAGGAATGGGTTTGCTCATGCACATATCTGATATGGACATGAATCAATCAACCGAAATCAAGGATTCAATCGAGATCCTTGATTTGAAATACCCTTGGGTTATTCCTTAAAAGAGCAGTCCTCAACACTATATAAACTTACTCATAGTCGCAGTTGTGAAGTACGCACTTCACTTGAACTTGTACTGGTGTCTTCTATTGTCTTTCATAAAACCTTTGTATTCTCGTGAGTATACAATTGAAAAAGAAAAGAGAAAGAAAGATCTGAGTGTAGGTTATACAAGTAAAGGTTGTGTCAAAGAAGATGATCTGATTTGCACATCAGACAGTTCTTTCCGTCGAAATACATTGTACTGCCCAAGTTCTCAACAAGCTCTTAAGAAACCCTTGAAACCCAAGGAGACTGGAAGTAGGCACCACACTGATGTTCCGAACCAATATAAAACTCTCTGAGTCTTTTACTTACTGCATTTACTCTAACCTTATAATGTGATACTAACTTGCAGGTGAGTCGACTAACCCATACAGGAAGTCGACTAAAGAATTTTTAATTCACCCCCCCCCCCCCCCTCTTGACTTTCACAGACCACAAGGAACTTTTATACGCAGTCTTATATACCCTGCATTTCTACAAGATGGTTATTTCCAGCTCCAACCTGTAATCTCCTAGTCACATGACGACAATTTTACCAGTTACGCCAAGATTTCCCCTTATTTCCAATTATCTTACTTATAGTGAAAAAAATGCATGTTAAAGCTGAAGAACTTGTAAACAGAGTGGCAAATACATATTCATTCATCAATCAAATTTCAAAATTCAGGCACATAAATCTGTTTAGGCATCTTATTTTGTCACAAACTTCAACAAGTACATCTCAAATTATGCCAAAAACTCCAATAATTAATAGTAGATACTATCAATTGGTTGGTTAAAACTTCTGAATAAAATCATAAATGTGGGCATTTATTTCATCAGGCTTTTCTTGGTTGATGAAGTGAGCTGCTCCCTCCATTACAACAACTTCCTCCAAACTTGGAACTTCTTTCTTGAAACCACCATTGTGTATATACTCCTTGATTCCAGGAATATGATATGTCAGGTCTAGGTCACCTACCACAAACTTAGTTGGGACTTGAATTTTGCATCCACTAAATGGTGCTGTGAGCTCCCAGTTTCTGCATATATAGTATCGAAATCAGGTTAATTTGAAGTTGAAATTTTATTCGAATATGTAATTTGGAATTCTTACATTGTATTTTGTCTCATAAACATGAAAACATC